TAGTTATGATAAAGTTAATTTAAAATTTTATATTATCAACCTATCAGGTATCTGATAAGTATTCAAAATTTAGCAAAACTAATATGGTTATTGAGTATATACTTGCATGCAAAATTATTTTAAAATCTCAAAATTGTAATCTCAAAGAAAAAAGTTGAAATAGTTTTTCATAGAAGACGAAATTATTTTATTTAAAATTCAAAATTTTTTAACTATCTATATTTATTTTTTGATTGAATATATACATAATTGGATACTTTTTTTACTTCCATATATAGAATAGATTCTGTATAAATCTCAAAAAGTCGAAATATCTCAAAAATCCAAAATCAATTTTGAAAACATGTATAATTGAATATTCAATAGGTACTCAATTTAGATCTGAAATTTGGTTTTTGACCTGTATTTGGCAATACTTCTTTTATTTGTTTATTATTTTCTAAAGAATATTTTCAACTATCATCAACAAATTGTTTCTAAAGTATATTAACTTAATCTGTTAAATTTTTAACTGCATATAATTGTTATTTAACTTGTACAATTCTAATCTTTTTGTAAATCTAATTTGGCTTATATACTTTTTTCACTGACACAGTTCAATTCTTGATAAAATAAAATCTGCATTAATAAATAATTTCATTACAAAAAATTTTTAATTAAATATACAAAAGGAGTTTAAAGCTAAGAGCTTATCACATTTAAATCAAAAGTTAAAGTTATACTAGAACTATAAGTTCAACTTCTTCTAAGAAATAAAAAAAGTTAAGCTAAGAGTTCTCTACATTCGAATTAAAAGTTGAGATTACTACTCCAAACTAAGAATTCAAGCTCTTCCTTTTTTCTTATCATGAATTAATAGTAATTATAAACTTATTTTTCAATTATTAAATAGTTCTTGAGTTTTCATTCTACATTTTATTTCTATATCTATTATTTTCTGAAGATTTTTTTTTTATGATATTAAGAACTTTTAATAGTTCAAATATATTTTTCTTGTAATAATAGTTTACTAAGTTGACATATGTCCATTTGTGAACTGGTGTAATTATGTAGAAATTCTTTATAATTACAGAAGTCATTTTTGTTTAAAAAGGAAAAATTTTTTACAGATTATATTATATATTGATTAGTTATATAAGCAAATTATCTATTATAATCACATGAAAAATTATATTCCAGGTACAGTAATGAATGTTATTAATGAACTTACAATATTCAATATTATATTAAGGCAAAAGTACTAAAAATAATGGTTGTACTAGTTCCACTGATAAATAGATAAATATATATATTTTATATATTCATTATATTTGTAGTAAATTATATATTAAATTATTTATTTTATTAAATCTGTTTATACACGATATATTTCTTCTTGAACAATCCATAAGAGCTAGTAATGTTGAGCAAGTTTTGTAACACACATGTCTTCAGGTCTGTAAAAATACTCTAATTATTTCTTTATATAATTATACATGCTTGGATCTTTTTTCCAACTTCTCTTACATGTTCAACTTTTTTAATAACATTCTACATTCATAATTTATAATAATATAATGTATATTTATTATTGAATGAATATTGAAATTCAGGTTTTTGTCTAAGCTTCTTAAACTCTTCAAAACTGATGTGAATATGAGCAGAACAGCTTGTGACCCAATGTTTTTCAATTTCACTATAAGTATAACCTTCAGTGTATTTTAACTTTATAACATATACAAGTTGATTACAATTGTGACAAATAGCAAATCCATTTTCAGGTGTATATAAAGTTCCATCTGTAAACTAAATTAATCTTCTTGCATAGAAAAGATATTTATCATTTTCACTAGTTAAAAAAAAAGATTATTTTCTTTGAATATATAAGACAAGATAGAATTTGATTTCTTCATTTACTGGAAGTTTCATTTGATCTAATAATTCCCATCTTTAGATATTTATCCCATTCTCTATTTGAGTATTTAAAATCCTGATAAGTTATTAAACTACTAAAATCAATTATTTTATATGACTTATTTGTAGTGTTTATAAAATTTATATGTGATTTATATCAAATTTAGAAATTTAAACTATTAGATTTATTAACTTTATACATTATAAATTTGTGATTCAATTTTAGTATGAATTGAATTCTCAAACCATCTTTTCAAGAGTATTATAATTATTATATTTTGTGGAGATATATAGGAATACATAAATTAATATATATATCAAACATATAATCTTCTAAATTGTATTGATAAATAGTTGCAAGATTTTTAACATGAATAGATGTTAATAATGCATCATTTCAGATATGAATAATTTAGCTTGAACTACAAAAAAAAATATTAGTAACATTTTAACTTTATTTTATAAAATCAAACTTGTACAATTTTTTTTTATATATTATACCTATTTTCCATAGGTCAAAATGTTACATATTCCTATTAGATAGTAAATAAGTAACAAATAGATATAGTACCTAGTAGATATCTGATATGTGTGAAAATAATATTCTTTTATATAACACTAGTCCAATGATAAATTAGAATGAATTAGAAAAAATCAACTGTCCATACTTAATAAGACTATGCAAAACTCATCATAAATTGGAATTCTATTTATGATAGCTGTATTATTTATATAATTACAAATTTGTAGATTAAATGAGAACCTGTAAAGTTACAAATTTTTGAATTGACAAAATCTACTCTAGTTATAATTATACTTTATATTTTTTATCTTAACTAAAAAAAAAAGGAAATCTAATTACTTAAAAAGCACTATTCCTTCCTAATATTACTTTTTGTGTTATGTTAAAAAGTATAGATACATTCAATTTGTTTGAAAAGATGAATCAAAATTATTATTTATACAATTACCATACTAATTGTTGATTTCAAAATATGAAATTTATATAAAAATTTTTATAGTTATAAATATTATTACAACATTTAATAGTATTACAAGACATAATAACGTTATGCGATATTTACACCAATTAAATTATTTGAAAATATAATGTCATGATTTTTTTAAAAAAAAAATTTTAAAAAAGACATTTACTTATTTTTGCTCAAACCTTTGTAGATCCTTTAGAAACCATATTTTATTCTGAGACATAAATGATCTAAATGAACCGATAGGTGTAAAAATAAAAAAAAATCGTTTAAAAAAGTTGTTTGGTAATGCTAAACTGCATTAGATCTTTTTCTAATCGCCCAAACATATAATATTACCGTACACACGACAATAGAATAAATAATTTATTTACAAGTACATGAAAAAATAATTTGCGTGTGAAACAAAATGAATACTTCATGATGGCTAGTTAATATAAATATGTTGCCTATTTTAAATTTTTGTGATCTTTAATAGAATCTTATAGTGTTCCTGATTTGGGTGAAAATATTTAAACCTCGTGAAACTTCGATAAAGTTGATTTATTAGTGGTTTTTAATTTTATTTTTAGAAATTTTTTTATTTGACAATTGGAAGCAACAAAAAACCCTTTATATGTCTTTATGGTTTAGTTACTTTTTTTTTTTATTTCTTTATATACGTAATATATATACAAGTTAGGTTTATTTTTTGGATTGCTATTTTTTCTTTTTTGGCTTTTTTTTTCTAGTACAATCCCCAAAAAGGTTTCCAACAACATATTTGTTTTCCTGAAAGTTATAATATAAATAATAAAGGTTTATCATTTCGGAATGGAATTCTATGTAGGGTAAACTAAATTACCAACAAAGAAGTACGAAAACCTGTTTAGATTGGTTATTGTGAATAAACGTTTTAAGACTTTCCTCACAGAAGCAAATAAGCACATAGGTGAAGTGTAATGAGCGCATGTGTAGCATTCTCTATAAACGTCGTGTTCCCCACCCTGAGATTTGTGTTACACAAACAAATCAATCAGTAAGTTTTTAATCCAAGTTTTGAGCTTTTACTCCTTTGGTTGACGTCTAGGCCAATTCTTTTTATTCTCTCCTTACACTTTGCCCTTAGCTGGCCTTACACTTTCCTTTACACTTTATAGCTTATTTTCTCTCTCTTTTTTTTTGTTAGTCTTTCCAAACCCTATCAAAAAACTTGCTCGGCTCAAGACTTTGCAAGTCTAATTCTTTCTTTTTAAATTTGCAAAAGTCAAAAACAAAATTAATTCACCATCTCCGTACCATTCATCTATCTCCATTAAATTCCTTTTTATATTTCCCTTACCTCAGGTCTTTATCTTTAATTTAACTTAGAATTTTCTCTTTTTAAGCCTTATAAAACTAAAATAACGGTATTCTTTTGTAAAGGTAAAGTGTTTATATCGTGGTTTTTTTTTTTTTAGTTAATAAACAAAGCAGATTGTAAATGTTTTGTTAAAAGAATAATAGAAATAAAAATATGATATTAGGTTAAACATATAAATATATATATATATTGCTCAACACGGAAAAAAAATATTTTAGACTTTCAACTGCTACCGAAGTAAAGAATTTTTAGCAAACTTTTTGTTTTGTACTAGTCTAAATTGGTTCCGAGTGGTTAACTTGTGCATACCATTCCTCGGGATATGTAATAATATAACATACATAATATATATATTCAAAGTTTATAAATACTCCGACAATTGGCCAGTTTTTAAAATACAAAAAAAAACAATTAATTCCCCTTTATTAAATAGATAAAATAGATAAATAAAAAATTCATCGTTGAGCTGGTTTCTTAGCAATCAATATTTATAAAAAAAAATAATAACAAATATATATATATATCTTTTCTTGATTTTAACAGATACCAATCCATTCTATACCCAGACCTCGAAAGATAAAGAAAAAAGTCGAGCCTGCAAGCAAAACAAGGGTTTCTCAAAAAAAAAATATTTTTACATTATAAAAACTAGATTATAGTAGTATTTTTTTTTTTCTTGGAAAAAAAAAAAACATCATCAATTCATCAACAACAATTGTTGTCAGTAGCACACAACCCGGATTTTCTAGAACTTAAATTTTCAAAAAAAATCAATCATGACCGATTTCTTACCAGAACAAAGACAAATTCAAAACAAACGTGCCTTTTATGGTTCCACAACGAACGTGTTTGACGCTACTGATGATGATGAGGAACAGTATTTCTCTTTCAGCAAAGCTGCAGCAGACTCAAGTTACTCCATCGTTGGTATGACAAACACTCCTTCCGCTATTTTGCCTAACAGTCAACAGGGAACTGTTAATAATAACAGTGAAAAGGAAGGATCTACTATGGAATCAACGAGTTCCGTGAACTCAAATTGCTCGATGTCTATGGATGATGTTAAAATACATACTTCTAATAATAATAATAGTAATAATAATAATAATAATAATAATAATAATAATAATAATAATAATAAGGGCAATGTTACGAACATAGACGTCCCCAACGTTGGCTGTAAGGCTGAGCCAAGCAGCAAGGAGACTGCCGAAAATTCCAATGGCAGTAAGATTGGCAAATCCTCTTCCCCATCATCTAAACCGGTATCTTCCTCATCCACCTCATCTACTTCATCTACCTCATCTTCATCCTCATCACCTTCATCATCATCATCATCATCATCACCTCAAACCACTTCACCACAACAATCTCAATCACCACATCAACAACCACAATTAACAACACCACCCACAAATAACAAAAAAAGAACACGTGCCACACCAGAACAGCTCGCAATTTTGGAAGATACATTTAAAACCAATACCTCACCGAACAGTAAAGTTCGAGAAGCGTTAGCCGAAAAAGTAAACATGTCTGAACGTTCAATTCAAATTTGGTTCCAAAATCGTCGTGCAAAAATGAAGGCTATGCAAAAACGAGCACATTTAATGATTAATCAAGAAACGCTTGGTCATTTTATGACTTGTATGCCAGGTTATGGACATAATTTATACCCTTTCCGCATGCCAATTCACCATGCACAACGTATTGCTCTTCCTAGATCTTATAGTACAAATGACCTTACACCAGCTATTAATAATGTAGCATTAGGAATGAGACCTCAACCAAATTCAGGTCTAGGTATTACTGTTCCTCAAGGATTTTGGCCTTCTGGTCCATTAACGGCACCAATTACACCTTTAAGTGCCAATGATCCAGGTCACCTTATGAATGGGTTCCCTTTTTCGACTAATTCTATTCAACAGCAACAAAATCAACGATTTCCAATATCCCCCAATGCTAGTCCAAATTCTAATGCCACTCAAGCCTTAAGACTTGTAGTTAATCATCCCACCAATGGGATACCAGTAAAAATGAATGGTAAATATTTATTTTAAATTTCTACTATTCCTAAATTACTTTTTTTTTCTCTTTACATTCTTTACATTCTTTACATTCTTTACATTCTTTATTATTATTATTATTATTATTATTATTATTATTATTATTATTATTATTATTTATTATTTATTATTATTTTATTTATTTATTATTTATTTATTATTTATTTATTTATTATTATTTATTTATTATTTTTATAATTTATCACAGATCAACAAAATTCCATATCTCAACCTCAACAGTTCACACCACCCCAAGAATTCATCACTCCGACTTTTAATAATCAAGCAGTTTCAGTTATTTCAAGTGAAACTCTTACTATTGGAACTTGGCGCCGTATATTAACAATGCAAGCACCTACAGATCTCTTATGTTATTACACAATGCCACAAAATGTTTTCACTTATCATATAACTAATGATAATACTCAATTTAAAATGGATTTCCCACTTACTGATATTGCATCAATTGAATATCGACCAATTGATGATATTTATGCACAAATTGCAATTGAAGTTAAAAATTCACCTAATTTCTATATGGAATCACCTCAAGGTGGATGGAATATGTGTAAAGATTTTACTGAGGATAGACAAGCTACTCGACATATGAGACATGTAATGAAAGGAAGATCTATTGTAATGAAACCCCAACTTATTAAACTCATGCAAGATGATCCCCTTTTAGCCAAAGTGGTCACAATCCTTGACACTCTGGTTGAAAATCAAAAGCAAGAAAATAAAACCGATTCAAATGGATCACAAATAATTAATGATCAAGAGCAACAAAATACATCTCGTCGTTCATCTTATCCTCCAAGTGGATCAGCATCACTTTCTGATCGTGAAGATTATAAATCAAGCACAAATCTTCTTAAACAAATTGCCCGTACTCGTCGCTCAGCATCTGTCCCAGTTTCACCTACTGATGAAAAAAATCTAATTAATCCAACAATGGCATCAAGTTCATCATTACAAGTAAATACCTCTTCAACATTCCTTGATTTATATAAAGCCGATGTGAATAGTTCACCCGAATTCTGTTCTTCACCAATGGAACTTAACTCTAATTCATCGCCCACGACACCTTTATATGTATTTGATAATTCACCGACCCTTATGGATTCATCTCCACTTTTAAATCAAGATCCTTTTATATCTTTACCATCACATAATTTGACAAATTTAATTCCTAATAATGAACAAATTAATGCAATGGTTGGATTTTCATCTTCAATGTCAGGACAAAGTCTTTCCAATTTATCAAATGATGATTTCGCTACCATTTTTAATAATATGAATAATATGAGTAGTGGTTCAGATACATCATCAGACGTTAGTGAGTTCATGACCTTTAATGATTATGCCAATGAAGCAATGGGTGAAAATAATGATGGATTTTCTTCCACAAATAGTATGATGAATCTTGATATTTCCTCTTGGGTTGGAAATGATGTTACTTATTAATAATATTCTAATTAAAAAAAAATATTATATAATAATTAATATCAATTGCAATTAATAATACATTTTACAAATTTAATCAGTTAATAATAATTAATGATTTAAACAAATTAATTTATAAATTTTAAAGCTTAGATAATTTTTCAAAACATGTGAACCGTATGATTTTTCTATGAGGTTGAAAATAAAGTTTTTTAAGAAAACTTAAGAAATATGGACTTATTTTTTTAAAAATTTAATATTGATCATTGATCATCTCATCTCAAGGGGGATTTTTCAAAAAAAAAAAAAAAAAAAAAAAAAAAATAGTTTTGGGTTCGAGGTATTTTTTTTAATACTAATAATAATAATTAGTTATTGGCACCTATGTTACATCTATGATTTTTATAATTAATAATAATAATTTCTTTTAATTTAATTTTTAATTTGGAATTATGGGTGGTGGAAATTTGTGGCCCCGTCGGCTTGACGCCATTTCTTTTTTTTTTTTTTTTTTTGTTAGAAAAAATAATTGATAGATTTTAAAAATCAGAAAAAAAAAAAAAACAATTCTTTTTCCTTCTGCCCTTGTTCCCTCCATATGTATATTATGAATGCATCATCAACTTTTTTTACGCCATTTTTATTTATATTCTTTGTTTTTTATACTCACTCACTTTTTTATTCAATTTTTTTTCATTCTTTTTTTTTCAACTAGTTTGAAAAAAAAAAATCATTCTCTAATTTATTCCCGTGATAAAAAGAAACACGCGAAAAAAAAAATATTTATAAAAAAAAAAAAATAATTTTTGTAGAAGTGAGTGGGATTATATAAAATATAATTCTTTCTTTATTAAAAAAAAAAAAATATATATATAATTTATATTACAAGTGTGGAAAATTTCTAATGATTAATGTCAAATTTATTGGGTTGCCTTTACTTTTATTAATCTTAAATTCCGAGCTTTTTCTTCTTTTCGATGAAAAGGAGAGATGATATAATCAAACATTGTTTATCCAAGACAGAAAAGTTGTTAATTGAAATTGTTGTCAAAAAAGAGATATAACTTATATATATATATTTTAGAAAACCTATAAAATATATTCGGGCCTTTATAATGAATGTTCTTTTCTTCGTTCATATTGGATTCTAAAAATCTTGATGATTTAATAAATATGTTTTTTTAATATATCTTTTTTATGTATTTAAAATATTCAAAAAATACATATAAAAACTTTAACTTTTCACTAAAACAAGATCGTGACTAACATTAACGATATTAATAATGATAATAATAATGATGATAATGATAATAATGATGATAATGATAATAATAATAATAATAATAAATAATAATAATAATAATAATAATAATGATATTAATAATGATATTAATGATATAGAATTATATGTGAATACCTCTAACAAACACACCTTAATATAATGTACACCCTAATGGAAACGTATTATCTATTTATTTGTATTAAACATTTCTATTGGTAAAAATATGAAACATGAAACATGAAATTTAAATTATTACTGCATAATAAATAATAACAATAACAATAAACAATAACAATTATTATTATTATTATGTTTAAATTATTGGAAATCACATTTTCTTCTTAATAAATTCTTTTTTTTCCTGAAACATTGTTAACCATCCTTCATTCCTCCACTTCCACCTCCTCCAAATCTTGTTGGTCTCGTACCCGTAGCTCCTGTTAGTTGGAACCTATAAAATACATCTTGAATCTCATTCAAAAAGCTTATGTGATTAATGATGAATAATGATTAAAATTGATTAAATTATATAATAAATAAATAATAATAATAAATAATAATAAATAACAAATGAGAATATTTTATTTGTAACATTTTACCTTTGACTGTTATGCACTGTGGTTCCTCCTAAAACAATCCTAACCCCTGGAGTTGTGGAATTTACTTGAGCGACATATCGAGCTTCTTCATAAGTTGCACCTCCAACCATGAAAATTATAATATCTTGGGGTCTACAATTGGTCAAAAATTATTTTTAGTTATTTTAATTTATTTTTTTGAAATCATTTTAAATTATATTTACCTGTCTTTGGTTCCACCTTCAATAAATGGATAACTAGTTTCTTTTAATTTACATTTAAGTAGTAATTCGATAGTTTGTCTTAAATGTGGTGAATGTTGAGTGTATACATTCTCTACACCCTTTTAAAGAAAATAATAAAAATTTAGATTATTAATTTATTAATTTTTTTATTTATATTCAAAAGATAAAAAATTGTAAGAATTGTAAAAATTGTCCAAAGGTAAAGATTATCTCGAGATACCTTTAATCCTTTGATTATTGCATTTTTTCCTCTGGCTAAGAAACTTTCATTAGAAAATAAATCATCTTGACGTATATCGGTTCCAGCAAATTGAATCATTGATGCGATCAACTATTAATTAATTAATGAAATTAAATTTTAATTATAAAAATAAATAAATTAATTAATTTATTAATTATCAATTAAATTAAATCAAATAAAGAAATAAATAATATTTTTATTAAAATTACCGATATTTTTTGTTGACTGACCCCATGACGATGTAATTCATCAATTAAGGAAGTAATTGAATTACTTGGTGACTTTTCATATCTCAATGAATAAAGTAAAACCAATCGAATTTTACTATTATCTGAAACCTTTGAACTTGCAATAAGTCTTTGTAAATTCTATTGAAAATTCAATACTAATAAAGTTAATAATATAAAAAATAATAATAATATCTTATCTCTTTATTAAATGTAAATGTAAATCATATGTTCACCTTTAAATCACTTGCATGTTGTTCATAACATGCTAAACTTTGTTCCAATTCACTAACTTCTAATAAATTCTCTTTTTCCACCAATCGACTTAACTCACTAACTAAAGTTACATGTTTACTAACGTTTCCTGATATTTTTCTAAATTCCGGATATTCTTCCATAAATCGTTTCATATCAGCAATTGATTCAATTCCTACTTTAGATTTTGTTTTACTTTGATATTCTTCAACGTATGATTTAATATTGGCTCCCAAATCTCCTAAATTTAAATCCATATTTTTTTTATAAAATGGATCCGTATCTTGAGAAAGAACGATTTCCTACAAATTAATTAAAATATATAAAATTAAATTTTTTAAAATTAAAATATAATCAAAAAAAAAATTTAAAATTAAAATTAAAATAAATTATATACAAACTTTTAATTCAGGTCGAATATCCGGAACATCTGATAAATCAACTCTGCCATTATGAATTCCTAATAATTCATGTACCATGGCTTGATAAGTCCATTGTGATAAAAGAGGTGTCACCGGATCATTACGACGATCGAGAATTAACAATATAGGTGGAGTATCGGTTTTACGATAATAGAAGAGTTGCGACTCTTGTTGAATATGATCCTAAAATATTAATAATTAATTAATAATTAATTAATTAGAATTAATTTTATTATTATTATTTATTTATTTATTATTATTTTTATAAAGAAATTAAAAAATCATTGTCAAAAGTTTTTATTAAACATACTTTAATTTCCGTGGCAAGTCTTTTAGCCATTACACTCATCTTTTCATATCGAATTAATGGTTTTTTCTTCAATGAAAGCAAGATAGCCAATACACCTTCCACCGTTCGTTGTAACGTTTTACCATCCCATGTATTTAATGAATCCCCATAAAGTGGTAATGAAAGATTTAAAGAATAAAAATCCGGATTAATGGCACAATAATCTGCGAAATATTCCTAATAATTATAATAATTGTAATAATTATAATTTATATATATATATATATATATTTATTTATGTATATTTCTCTCTCTCTCTCTCTCTATATATATATCTATCTATCTGTCTAATCCATTATATAATAATCATTCACAATATATTCTCAATTTTATAATGAATTAATAAATACCTGCACTTCGCTAACTGCTTCATGTTCATCTACTTCGGCTAACCTTTCTATAGCCGATTTTTTTAATGTGTTACTAAAATCTAATTAATTAAATAAATTGAAATGATCCTAATTTAATAATAATTGACTGACTGTAAAATTAATTAATTATATATTTATATCATATTTTCCTTACATAAATAATAATCCCCATATCGAGGATCTCTAAGTTCTTCAACTAATAATTGCAAAGTTTCACTTGTTGGTCGAAGAAAACAAATACACTTTAGGTGTCGCATTCTATCCCGGTTTCGATTATCAATGCGATCAACTAGGTAAGTTTCATGTGAAAGGAGACTAGATTGAGTCATTACATTGGAAATAATCGGTGTCTAATAAGACATTATTATTGGGTTTGTGTTTGTTTTGTTTGTTATAATTGCTTTAAAATTAAAAAAAAATTGAATTATAGTAATAAAGAGATCGTAGAAGATAATACTAGTAATACTTCGTTGTTGTTGTTGAAAACTAACCGTTTCGGCATCAAGAAGCAATACTTTCATTCCTGGTACTTCGTTGAGCATTTTAATTATATAATTTTGAACCGCCTTGACGATATCCATTATTGTTATAATTATTATTAATTTTCCCAATTGCTTGGCTTGAAAAGATACTACCTCGATTATCAGTTTTACATAAATTATCTGGGATAGAAAAATGATTTTGATTGGCTAATCCATATATATAAACTTCTGTCAAGCACGCGTCAAGCACTATAGAAAGTCATGGAAATCTGCATTCTCTTTAACACGTTTATCAACCGACCTTTTTTTTGTGTCAATGTGACAGTTTAACCCATTTTTCGAGTTTTCGACACATTATTTTAATAATGAGAAAAGGAAGATAAACCTTTTTTTTCATTAAATTCGTGTGCAATTGAGGCAACACATGACTTCTGTTGCAAAAGGAAAACAACTAGAAACTTTTGATCATATAAATAAAGTGTGAATTAACAGGGTGAGTGTTTCTCTCACTGAGTTTTTGCTGAGTCATTTGTTGTGTATTCAAAGATACGTTGCCACATTAGTTTCTGGAAATTAAAAGCACATTGTGGCCACTGTTTTAGCAGTGAATGTTCTTTCCAGTTTCTGGTGTATTCTCTTTATTGCTCTTAATATGCTGGGAATTCTTAGTGAATAGGATATACTCTAACAATCAAAAGCATACACTATCGAATATTCTGGTCATACATTTAGTTAATTGGCAATGATCAGGAATAGATATACAAGCAAATACTTTTAACATTGATTTTGTAATATACAATAATTAATAAATACAGATATATATTCACAAAAGAAGTTAATCAATTAGGACAAACAATATAATATTATATAAATAAAAACAAAAGAAAATGCTAAACCAATAAGTCAACAATATTATAGGACAATTCTCTGCAGAACAGTTTCACTAGTCAAATACAAAAGAATTGGAATTCCTATATCATAAACCAGCTAAAAATTGATCATTCCATTGTATCATATATTATAAATTAGCTAAAATCAGAATTCCTTTTCAGTACGCTTATTCTTTTGTATTTGACCTGTGTTTATAGAAGATTTTTGCAAATTAGAATCCAAGCTGAATTAATTTAAATTAGTTGAAAACAAATTATTAGCTTTACTAACAAATAAGCAGATAACAATTACAGGTTTAGTCAATGTTTGAGAAATAAATTTAACAGGTGTAAATGGAATATTGACAAATATAGTAAGAATGTTAAGTGGTTAGCTATACAAAATTTAATAATATTAAACTATAAAGAGTTCATTATATCAGACAAATGAACTCAGAAGTAGAGTTGTTAAATGAAATATAATGTTCTGACATTAACTTGGGTTATGTATCAATTCTTCACTAAAATTAAAATTTTTAAGAAATATCACCTCAATATCTAGAAGATATTATCTTGATATCTTAAATTATTATATCAAAAAATATCACAAGAATATTTTTGAAATATTTTTTTAACATAATAAAATATTGTTACAATATCTTTAAATAATATTAACTGATGTCTTATAAATATCAATTCAATATTATTTTGATATAATAAATTATCAAAATTATAATGTTTAATTATAATTCAATATCATTACAAGATTTTTCAATTAATAAAATTTATTATCTTAAAAAATATCTATTTGACATTTATTAACATTAAAATAATATCTATTTGATATAATTTTTTAATTAAAATTCTTTATCTTTTCAATATTTACTAATATCAAAATAATATCTATTTGATATAATTTTTTGATCAAAAATTTTCATCACAAATTATTATAGAAATATCTTAAAAATATCTATTTTATATTTATTAATATTGAAATAATATCTATTTGATATCATTTTTAATCAAAATTTTTTATTGCAGAGATATTACATATGTATCTATTTGATATTTATTAATATCAATTTAATATCTATTTTGATATAATTTTTTGATCAAAAATTTTCATTACAAATTATTATAGAATTATCTCAAAAATATTTATTCAATATTTATTAATATGAAATAATATCTTTTTGATATCATTTTTTAATTAAAATTTTTTATTGCAGAGATATTTTATATATATCTTTTTGATATTTACTAATATCAAAATAATATCTATTCAATATAATTTTTTAATCAAAAATTTTCATTATGAATTATCACAAAGATATCTCTAAAATATCTATTTATATTTATTAATATTAAAATAATATTTATTCGATATGATAATAATAATAATAAAAAAAAAACTCTTTCTGGTACACAATAATTTTGAAAAAAATCTACAGTTAAAATTATTATTGAAATTAGTTTTTTAACTTGTTTTTTATTTAATTTTATTTATTTATATTATACAATTGTAATTAAACATAAGTAATAGCTCAGGTTCTAAATTTCAATTCAAAAAAAAAAATTTTCAAAAAAAATACTATTGAATCTACTACAAAACTTCCAGAAAATTCTAATACTAAAATATTTAATAGTAAGCTTCACTAATCAAAAATTTATAAATATCACACCTATTAGATATCTGATATAGATATTATTCAAATTCAAAATACTAAATTTCAAATCCCAAATTTCAAATTCCAAATTACTAATTGCCAAAATTCCAAATTCCAAATTATGCCAAATTTCAAATACTATGAAAACTAAATTTTGATAACTAAAAGATCAAAATAATTTGAAATTTAGATGGTATGTATAGTATCTGATAAGTATGATATTTATAAATTTTTAACCAGTACTTATATTTCAAGTAACAATTTTAATTAGAAAAGATATAGATAAAAATAACATCCCAACATTTGAAGAAATAGATAAAAGTAATAATAATAAATTTAATAATCAAAAAGAAAATAACAATCAAAAATGATAACAAATTACAAATAATAAAAGTAAAATAAAATTGTAACTATAACTATCAGGAATTAAATAAAAATATTTTACAATACTATATGAATACTGTTCTATAGTATTATTCAAACAGTACTAATATACTAAAACACAATGTTCTAATGTATTATTTAATCATTTTATATTAATAACATACTAAATATACTATTTTAATATATTATTTAAATGTTTTATATTTATAACATACTAGAACACAATGTTCTAGTTAATAATGAAACCTAAACCTTATAGTTTAAGAAAAAGTCAAAACTGAAACTATCTTAAAAAGGATTTAGCCTTTTATATAATTTATTCAAATTTTAAAATTTTTAAACCTTATCCAAACCTTCTAAACTATTCTAAACCTCTGAAATTATTTTAAACTTCTTAAACTATCCTAAATTTCTTGTATAATTTTAACTTATAAGAATTGAAAATAATTCATCATCATTGTTACATATAAAACTTTTTATTTTAATAAAATAATATTAAAAATGTCACTAAATAATTTTAAAAATAAGAAAAAATTCATCTTTTGTAAAAAGAACAAACTTATATTATTAAAATTGAAAGAAATATAAATAGATAAAATTGAAATGGAAAAAAATTTAAAACCAGTTACCATTTATTTAATTTTGATGAAATTAGCTTATGCTTGTGCAATTAATTTTTGTCTTTAAAATTACTTAATACTATTTTTGACATTTGCTTATTTTTTTTTTCAACCATTAAAATCTTGTTAGATATTTTATTAAATAAAACAAAAGTAGAAATAATATAATTATGTTATTTCCACTTAGTCTAGATTATTTCTACTTATCTCATGATATGCGGATCACATTTGTTTTATCATTCGAGTGACGTGCATTTTGTGTTTGCCTCATTATTTTCAAGTGAGTATAACTTAGATGTAGTATATATCCATCTCGTGACGAGCAGATCACATTTGTTTTATTATTCAAGTGATATACATTTTATATTTGTCTCATCATTTTTGATGACAGAAATATTAGTTCATATATGAATTATTGTATATTGAATTGGTGATCCTTGTTGATTTCAAGTATAAATTACTTCCCAACATAAGTTATAATGAGTTAGTTAATTTTTTTTGTGTTCTTTTTAGGAGGTCGAATTTGATAACATTTATTGTATGCTAAATAGAGATTAGTGAAGGTAAAATATATATTAACAATGCATTTAGTTATATGTTGTCATTTGTAGAGACAAATAGCTAGAGTATATTTTATACCAAACACAAAAAAATAGTATGTATCTGATGATGCATTTAGTCATATGTTGTCATTTGTTACTAGCATTAAGTTTATCAAAATATATTTAATCGTCTTCATTATCAAATAATTCATATATCTTGTTCATGATTTTAGATTGATCAATAATATGATGTCATTCTCTTTTTCTACTTATTCATACTTGACTTCAATTAATATCAATTTGTACAAACTTCTTTTTGAGAATATTGTTATCTAATGGTTCCTTATTATTAATTTTATATCAAATAAGATACTTTTGATATAAATTTTTACTATTAACTTTATTAATATTATTTTTGAGCCATAATGAAATATGATTAATTATAAATTGAATATAGTTAAAATAAATTGAAGATAACTGCTAATTTGTATTATCTGATATATAGTATTCTTTATTAATATCCATTATCTCATTTTTGACTATATTTTTAAGTTTCGTGTTTTTAGTTTTAAATTCAATAATTTGTATTTTCAATAAATTTATTTCAACTTATATATTTACTATTTACTTTTATATCATCAGAAAATTTTTTCTAATGAAAATATTTAAAAGTTAATGGTAATATAAATATTTTACTATTTTTCGATATGTTATCTTTCAAAGGTCTTTGTTACCTTCAAAGGTTATTGATTTTAATATTTTTATGTTAAAAATTTTATGAATATTATTATTTTCATAGTAAATTTGTATTGATAATTTTTGAAAATTATTGATTTTGATATTTTTATATGTGAAATTTTACAAATATTATCATTTTCGTAGTAATTTTGTATCAACAATCTTTGTTTATATTAGATATTCATAATATATTATTTTTGATGGTCATTATTTGTATTTATATTGTTACGATTTTTAATT